CAGCAGGAAAAAATAACAATACCTTGTTGTTTCAGCTTTTTTTTTTTATTGTAATAGCTTTTAACGAGCCCAACGCATCTCTGAAATGATTCAGATATAACCCTTTGCCTCACTATTTCTCTCTGCTGTGAGGGGGAGAGGTTTCTGGCATATATCTGCTTGTGAGTAGAGGAACGGTAATGAGCCAGGCATTTCCAATGAGCAAAAAGGCGTTTGCCACCTGGGCACCAATGCTAAGGATACATTAGCCAGGGGTTATTTGCCTGCAGTTGCCCAAGTCAGAGGGTCTTGGAGCCCCTTGCCTCTGTCCACCAAGCTCCTTGCCTGCCCTTGGGAGACCTCTCCCTCCCTCCACTGCCCAGACACATTTCTGCACACTCACAACCCCTTCCCTACCACCTCACATGCCAAAAATATCACAGGGGGGAAATGTGTCACCTGCTGTGGGTGGAGGAGTCTGCCTGGTGTCTTTGGAGGCTGCAGTCAGTCCCTGAAGGGTGTGTATAGGGCAGAAAGCAGGAGGGCTTGTTGGGCACCGCTTTATTAGTGGTGGGACTGACTTGTTCTGCCAATGTCCTTCTTTGCAAGCCCTGTTTCCTTTGGTGGTGTGGATGCATGGGGTCTCACCTCTCCTCCAACAGTGTCTTCACAAAATGAAGCCGCTGCACAAGGCTGGCTGTGATGAAAGGAGTGACATGCTGGGCCCCCCCCAGGTTTACCTTCATTATTTAATACCTAAGCAGAAGACTGCCTTGTGGACCTGACATATTTGCTCAAGAAGATAGTTATTTTAACACTGTCTCTTGGAAATCTCACAGAAGAAGTTGATAATGAATAGTGGAGTGGGGATTTCCCACCACTTTCAGTTGGAGCCAGGCAAATAACACTAAGTCAGTTACTAACCTGTTGCTGTGGTCACCGGATTAGCTGAACTTCTCTGTGCACCCTTTCTCTGTCTTCTCCAAGGACTCCCTCAGGCCCCATGATTTCACATCTCCCACGAGGGTTGGGGTCCTGTGGTGGAACCTCAGTGCTGGCTTTCCCATCCGCTCTGCTCTCCTCTGCCCCTGCAGTTTGTTCTCCCCAGTAGCCTGCAGTTGGAGGAAGGAGGTGGCTCAAAACAACCTTCTTAAAATGTTGCTTCTTCACCTCTAGCAGCAAAGCCCAGCTCTGCAGGGAGAAGGGCTGCAGATATCAAAATGCCGTTCAACATGCTAGGTGAGTTGTTTCAGTCCAGGCCCATTATGCCTCGGGTGTTGGCATCACTGTTTTGCTGACTCTCCCTTGCCCAGGCCTTGAACAACTGACACCTAAACCGTGTTGGTGCTCCGAGAGCCAACGCGGGGAGCTCCTCCATGCGGCAAACTGTGCGGCATCCATGCAAGCGGCTCCTTCATCGTGTCTCACCATGTGTGCCGAGAAGATTACGTATACATTTTCCATTCTCCCCTCTGGCTGCATCTTCACAGAGCCACAGAAGCACAGAGTGGCTGAGGTTGGAGAGGACCTTGGGAGGTTTCTGGCCCAACCTCTTGCTCAAAGCAGTACCATCGGGTTTCTCAGGACCTTGCACTGTCAAGTTCTGAACATCTCTGAGGTTGGAGATTTCCCAGCCTCTCTGTGCAAGCTAGTGCTTAACCACCCACCATTTTTTGTTAAAAAATCCTTTTCTTTTATCAAGTACAAATTTGCCTTGTTGCAACACGTGACTCTCTTGCCTCTGACTCTCTTGCTGTGCACTTTTGAGAAAAGTTTGACTCCATTTTCTCTATAAGCTCCACAGAGGTATCTGGAAATATCTCACAAAAGCCTTGTCTTCTCCAGGCTGAGAAGACCTGGTTTCCTCAGCCTCTGCTTTTGTAATTTGTGCTGCATCTTGGTGGCCTGCACTGGCCTAGAGCACGTCAGGGTCTGTATTGTACTGGGGAGCCCAAAACAGCACAAGTGCCAAGCAGATGGGAGGGAACACTTCCCTGGACCTGCTGGTGATTCTTTTCCTAATGGAGCCCAGGAGGCTGTTGGCCGCCTTTGCAGCAAGGGTGCATTACCCACCTGTGGTCAAATTGTTGTCCACTGGGACCCCCAGGGCTTTCTCTGCAGAGCTGCTTTCAAACTGGCTGGTCTCCAGCATGTGCTGGTGCCTGGGACTTTTCCATCCCAGGTGTGGGACTTGGCAGTGCCTCTAGTTGAATTTAACGAGATACTTGTCCAACCTGTCCACATTCCTCTGACCAGCAGTCCTGTCCCACCTGTGAACTTGCTGGGTGTGCTCTCTGTCCCACATAGGTACTGAGATCACTAAACAGTACTAGCTGCAGGATGCCCCTAGTAGCTGGCCACCAGCAAGACTTTGAACTGTTGGCCATCAACCTTTGGCCACCACAACCCAGCTAGCCCTTCAGCCTCTGCATAGAGCAACCTAACAGTAGTTGTGCTACTGAAATAGCTTGGGTATGTGGTAAGTGCATGACACCTACCTTGTAGCAAAATTTTACAGTTGAATAAGCTGCTCTAAAGGCCAAGAAAATGTTCTTAGCCTTGTCCTTTGTATAGACCCTCACAGGATTGTTTTAAAAGTTTAAAACCCAGTCGTGCAGATCATGTAGGAAAATAAAAGAAAATAACAGTGATTAATTGGTAACAGGTGTGCTGAGCATAGGGAAATAAGAGTAGAATTAAGATTGTTTGAATTTTACTTACTGCTTAACTCTTAAATAACTTTGTGCCTTATAAGTACTTGATGTAAGAAGTTCTCAGAATTGTAACCATATAAGATTAGTAAAGATCATTTTGTAGACGATGACCTGCAGATGACCTAAACAAGAACTGGAACCAGAAAAGACGAACCCAGCTGAATAAGGGGATTGCGAGTGGGCTTAATAAGCAATGATTATGAAGAACTGAAAGGCTGAGTGAAAATTTACAAAGACTTTGGACTCTGTGTATTGATAAAGAAAAGGTATAAAACCTGCAAGGATTTGGAATTCAGTTGTCACACACTTGAGGTATTGGCCTAACTCTGAGTTATTAATAAAGCAAACCCAGAGATACCCACATTTGTGTCAAGTGATTTATCTCCTTGAACAACCTATAGTACATATAGCAAGGGCCACGATGATCCAGGCAGTAAATAGTATTCATGAGCTATCAGTAGGCAGCTCTTCAATGACCACAGCAATGACATGGGAGAGAGGTTTCTGGTTTACCCAAAAGCCAGACTGCAGGGCATTGCATCAGATCCAGTACCAGCTACTCTTTACTGTTCCCTCCTCTGTCTGTCAGGAGGGAAGGACAGCCTCCAGCAATTAAATGCTGCAAGGCAGACATCTGTGGGATAATCTGGTCCCCTGTATGGCCCCTGTGGCTCAAGCCGTGCCTTGTTAGATATTGTCTCTGTTTCTAAGGGAAAGGTACGAAAAATATGCTGCCAGGAGTTTAATTGTTATGACAGGAATCTATGTTACTTATTACATAACTGCACGTATCCAAACCCCTCCTCAACTTTGTCAGTTCCTTGATCTGAATCAGCTGAGGTGTGGCTGAACAGGCAGGGAATTCATAAAATAAAATCTGATTTAAAGGACGAAAATGGAACTAATTTTCTCCTTGCCTGCCTTACAACAAGAAACCTTTCCAGTTCTTGGAAATGAAGTGTTTCTGGAAGGCCAAGGGCTGCAGCAGGGCAGCTTGCA